AAGATCCCCAAGAGTTTATAGATGAGGTCCATAAGGTGTTAAATATTATAGGAGTTACTTTGGTAGAGAAAGAGGAATTGGCTGGTTACCAACTCAATGGGGTTGCTTAAATGTGGTTTAATCAATTGAAAGAGGCAAGAACAGAAGAGATGGGTCCCATGGAATGGGAAAGGTTCAAAAATGCTTTTCTTGATAGGGTTTTCCCTCTAGATGTGAGAGAGGCTAAGGTTCTTGAGTTCATTAACCTTAGGCAAGGTAGCATGAGTGTTAAGGAATATGCCTTGAGGTTTACCTAACTATCTAAGTATGCTCCTTCTATTGTGGTGGATCGTAGGACCAAAATGAGTAAGTTTGTATCGGAAGTTTCTGATCTAGTGGTGAAAGAATGTCGTACGACTATGCTTGTTCATTATATGAAGATTGCTCGTCATATGATTCATGCCCAACAAATTTATGAGGCAAAGCTAAAATGGAGATCTAAGGAGAGAAATAGGTCTAGAATGGATGATGATAAGTTCTCCTATGATGGGTACGATGGACATGGTTGTTATAGGAATTGATAAAGGTCTTCCGGGCAAGGTTCTTCCCATACTCCTAGGTATAACGAGGATATAGTGTCTAACCCTAAGCCACAAGGAATTAGTAATGAATCCCTATGGCCTACTTATTCTACGTGTGGAAAGAGACATGAAGGTAGAGGTTTAGCCGACATAGAGGGTAGCTTTAGTTGTGGTGGAAGTGGTCACAAGATAAAGAATTTCCCTAAAGTAAAGGCTTAAGGAAGAGAAGATGCTCCTAAGCAAAACCGGTTTTACGCACTTCAAGCTAGAGGTGACCATTAGTGTGCTCCAAATCTGGATCCCGGTATGTTGATAGCTTCTTAATCGATTATTTATGCTTTTTTAGATTTTGATGTCATTTTTGTTATGTTTTGGTTGCACTACTATGATGCTCCTATTTGATTGTAGAACATGTATAGTCAATTGTTAGTTCTTGAATGAGCCTATCTGAGAGTGGAAGGGGGAAAGTTTATGTCATAAGTTTGGGTTATGTCTTGTCTTGAAGCTGACTTTGAGGGTTGCATGTACCACCTAGTTGTGGTGAGGGAGAGTTCCTTATGGTTAGCTCCTTGTTTAGAAAGTCATGTGTGTTTTATGTGTTGCCATGATTTCTCTATATGAATGTTCATGAAAAAGCTTATGTCTTGAAAGTAATGACTTATGTGAATTGTTTTCCTCATGTTGTAGTCCAGTGAGTAGAGTTATTTATCGACTTCATGAGATGAGTCGATGAACATGTTTAGATATGCTCTTTGAAATTGAATTGCATATGAGCTCCATGAGATTGTGTCGAGCATGATTTAGCTCGGAGATGGTAGTTCCTCCATGAACATGAGTAAATGTTGAATTTCATGCATTTTGGGTTGTTAGATGTAGTTCCTACTCCATTATGTTGCATTGAGTATGTTTAGCTTGGAGATGAAGTTCCTCTTTTAGTTGTGGGCATTTAGATGAGTTGTATGCATGATGGGTTGCTAGTCTAGATTCGTGACCTTAAGAAGTGCCTAGAACGTCATTCGAGGATGAATGATCCAAAGGGAGAGATAATGTAATACCCCGTATTCAAATAGAGGATTTCATGTTAGAACGTCAAGCTGCCACCCCTCAAGGACCAACTATGGGCCCTTGAAGAGGACCCCAAGAAAATTGCCTAAGGCACTATCCATGTCAGGACCCACACCCCGTGGATGGGTCCATGACTCGTGGATAGGGGTCGTGGTTCAAGCCTTTATTGCCAACCCCCAGATCCCAAACCACGCTTGACAAGGAAAGACCGTAGGTCCATCCAGTCAACGGGGTCTCGTGGGTGGTGACCTAGGGGCTGTTTTCGTGGTTAAGTGCAGGGGAACTTTGAGTTTTTTTGGTTTTAATTAGGATTAAGTGGTGTCATTTTAACCTAATCTAGACCACCTACATATGGACTTTAAACCACTTAATTAAGTCATTAAAGTCATTCTCTCAACTCACCAAAAAGAAACCCAATTCTCTTCCAAATATTATCTCAGAAGAAGAAGAAGAAGAAGAAGAAGAAGAAGAAGAAGAAGAAGAAGAAGAAGAAGAAGAAGAAGAAGAAGAAGAAGAAGAAGAAGAAGAAGAAGAAGCAGAAGAAGAAGAGGAAGAAGAAGAAGAAGAATAAGAAGAATAAAAAGAAGAAGAGGAGGAAGAGGAGGAAGAAAAGGAGGAAGAGGAGGAGGAAGATAAGGAAGATGAGGAAGATGATGAAGAGAAGGAGGAGGAGGAAGAAGAAGAAGAAGAAGAAGAAGAAGAAGAAGAAGAAGAAGAAGAAGAAGAAGAAGAAGAAGAAGAAGAAGAAGAAGAAGAAGAAGAAGAAGAAGAAGAAGAAGAAGAAGAAGAAGAAGAAGAAGAAGAAAGAAGAAGGAGAAGGAGGAGGAGGAGGAGGAGGAGGAGAAGGAGAAGAAGAACAAGAAGAAGAAGAAGGAGAAGAAGAAGGAGAAGCAGAAGCAGGAGAAGGAGAAGCAGGAGAAGGAGAAGGAGAAGAAGGAGAAGGAGAAG